AGAGCAATCATGAAATAGGAGTGACCTGAACAGTCTAAACGTTACCTTTGAAAGTGCTCTGCTTATTATCTGCCACCTGCTGTCTGTTCAGTTGCCAGCCAACAAGAATGCCCATATTGCCTGACCTGAGAAGTAGGCTTGGTTGCCGCTCCATGAGCTCAGAATACTGAACAGCTTGTTGGGGTGATTGCCCTGATAAAAGGAACAGCATTCACGTTTCGTTGTACTGCCACGGGTAAATACGGACGAGCCTCGACCAAGTGGTGACTTCCCACAGTATGCATGTCACAACTTGATAAGCTTATTGAACATCCAAAGAGCCCTGCTGGATCAGACCAGTGGTCCATCTAGTCTAGCACCCTGTCTCACACAATAGCCAGCCAAGTCCTCTGGAGGTCCAACACAAAGGCATAGAGGCCGAGGCCTTCATAAGAACATCAGAAGAGCCCTTCTGGATCAGACCAGTGAGGGTCCATCTAGTTCATCATCCTGTCTCACACAGTAGCCAACCAGTTCCTCTTAAAGGTAAAACAAAAGGGCATGGAGGCCGTGTCCTTTCCCAGATATTGCCTCCTGGCCCTGGGATTCAGAGGCCGGCTGCCTCTGAATGTGGAGTTTCCCTGGAGAGCCAGTTTGGTGTAGTGGCTAGGAGTATGGACTCTAATCTTGGAGAACCAGGTTTGATTCCCCACTCCTCCACATGCAGCTGCTGATGTAACCTTGGGGAATTGGAAGAGGCAAGTAAATATGGGAGATTAGTGCTCAGAGGCATTGAGCTACTGGCATTAAAGTTGGGAGCGAGCGATTTGGCTTCTGCATAAAACAGTTTGCTCTGGAGCCCCTCCTTCCCGAGCTAAGACAAAAATGTGTGAGCTGGAAGCTAAAAAACGGTGAGCTAGCTCACACTAACTCAGCTTAGAGGGAACACTGCACCTGATGGTTCTGTCCCAATTTCTAAAAGTGACTTACTTTACGTACTAAACAACTAGCAACTGTTCAGCGCAATTGTCAACATGCCGCAGGGATCACAAGGTGCCAATTTACTTGGAAATAAATCCCATTGATATCAGCTGAAATGGAGGCGCCAAGCCCTCCTTCCCCTCCCTGGTCTGAAGCATTCTCACTCGAAGGAAAGTTATAATTGAAATCAAAGGGGCTTACTTTCAAGTTAATGCGATTAGAATTAAGTTATAAGGCACCGGAGTCTACGCCACGTGAAATTATAGAATGGCAGCACGTCCCTGGTGAGAAATTGAATCTTTCTGTTGCTCCTGTTCAGTAGTGTGTCAGCTGCAATCCTAATGAATGTGGACTGGGAAATGAGTCCCCTTGAAAGCCAGTGGGATTCCCTTCTGAGTGATGTTGAGGGGTGGACTGTAAATTGAACAGTGGATCTTCCTCCAGATACCAGAACCACAGCTTTCCCTTGTATTGTGCAACGTGCCGCAACTTGGCTCCAGTGAAACAAATGAGTCGAGCTTTATGTCCTCTACTTACATGCGGAAGGGAATTTCCTCCCCCCCCCCCCAAGGCTATTTGTAATCTCATTCTGTAATAAACTGTTACATTACAACCGATCATGTAAAGAACAGTAAATCTGAATGTAGAGGCGAGGCGGTACGACTCCCGGTGGGCACGGGATAACAGACTTCTGTTCCTGTGCAGCAGGAGTGGGTAAAAGTGGGAGTCTCCAAGCTGGAGAGTTTCCAGAACACATTCTGCCTGATCTGTAAATTCTGGGAGTGGCCTTAGACCAGTGGCAATACTCCACTCTTCTCTCCCCAGTATGGTGGGTGAACAGGGAATAACAAACCGGGCCTCAGTTTAAGGACCCTCCAAGACATGTGCTCAGCTCAGACTGAAGAAGAAACCGTGGTTTTGATTAAATTAACTGAGATTAGGGTGATTCTCCAAACACATACTGCTCCTTAGGGTCGGTCCAACCAGAATCTGAAAGCAGGATCTGAAGCTGGCTTATGGATCAGTCAGTCTCCACTAGGGTTGCCAGCAATGCTCCCTCTAAGCTGCAGAGTCTGTGAGCAAGAATTCTAATCTGTGAGCTCCTGGTATTAAAGTTGTGAGCAAGCGATTTGGCTACTGCATAAATCAGTTCGCTCCGGAGCTATCTTTCCTGAGCTAAGACAAAAAATGTGTGAGCCGGAGGCTAAAAAACTGTGAGCTAGCTCACACTAACTCAGCTTAGAGGGAACACTGGTTCCCAGCCCCCAAGTGGGAGCGGGGGATCCCCTGATTCCGCAGGCTCCTGCCCGCTGCCAGCGAAACTGGCTGGGGGGAAGCCCCGCCCCCAACTGCCACCACCCGGCACGACGTCCCCAGTGTAATGACATCACACAGAAGTGACGTCATCACATTGGGGACGTCACATGCAGAGGTCATTTCGGGGGGATCGCGGGGGATCACAGTTCCCCTGGGTGAGGTACGGGGGGCACATGACAAAGCCCCGCCCCCTGCTTCCGGCCCTCATTCAGCCAGGAGGAGGCAGGAGAAGAGGGAGGGTAAGTTGCTTCCTCCCTGCCTCTCCCCACCCCTGCCTGCCTGGGGCCAGGGAGGGCCTTGGCAGGGCTTCCTCGCACTCCCGCTGGCCTTGCAGGTCCACCGCGCCGGCGGCGGCCGGGACCGTTGGGGGCGGTGTGTGTGGCCTTATGACACACTTCCGGTGATGTCAGGGGGTGTGGCATATGCTAATGAGTTATGCTAATGAGTTCCACTAGCTCTTTTTCTACGAAACGACCCCTGGTCACATGTGGTGACGTCGCCACGTCGCCCCGCCCCCCCACTCCTGGATAGCTCCCTCCCACCCCCTGCCGGTGAGAGCGTAGGACCTGGCAGCCCTAGTCTTCACCGTGGCTTTCTGTGCCATACAAGTGTGGGCATCCTGGACTTTTCCCCTACCCTCTCCTTGGCTTGTTCCATGGCCCCACCTTTGGATGCTCTCCGGCAACAGAAAAGTTCTGGCCAAAGCAAATGTGGGGAAGCGAGCATTCATCGAGCTGAATCTGGATCAGAGCAATCAATCAATCGCAGACCTTTATTGGCATATCATGTCAAAACTGAGAGGCAGGGAAATACAAAAATCATATGCACCTAGTGATACGTTCCCTCCTCATGGAAGCCGAAAACAGAAATTTGGCCACCAATTCCATAGTCACTAGAGAGCAAGTGGAGAGTAAATAAGGTGTCTTCCATTCATCAGATTGATTTGCTAGGTGTCTCAATAAAGGCTCAAGATATAATGATCGAACATCACAATAGAAGACACAATGCAGAAGGATACGCTCCGAACTCTCGATTTCATCAACACAACAAGGACATAGTCTATCCTCATATGGAGTCTTAACGAGGGTGATCTGGCTGCAACATCTGTCACTCCATTGATTGCCAGGGCTGATTTGGCTGATCTGGCTGGCTAGGCGGGTGTCCCCTCCCTCCCTCACCCCTCCATGTGCATCCCTCCCGAAGCTGTGTGCTCAGTCGAAGAGGACAACCATACCAGAAAGAGGGAGTGTACCGTTTTTCGGTCAAAGGACCAGAGCACTGATCTGCAAGCTGAATTTTTGACTGGATGAACGAACCATAAGTCAAAATGAATGACGGTTTCGTTTTCCTGTCTGAACTGAGCCAATGAATGCAGAGTGCTTTTGGGGCCCTGTCAATTATTTTTTGCTGATGATGTTTCTTGCTATGATGACGTTTTTATACTAGGTGGGGCTGCTTGGAGAAGGGCCAGTGCCGATTCCCAGGAAGGGACAGACAGCCCTAGGATGAGGAAGAGGGAGCCGGTGCCGTTGTGTGCAAATTTGGAGGGGTAGACTAGGGCTGCCAACCCCCAAGTGGCACCTGGAGCTCTCCCGCTGTTCCAATTGATCTCCAGACAACCAAGATCAGCTCCCCTGGAGAAAATGGCTGCATTGGAGGGTGGAGTCTATGGCATTACGTACCCTGCTGAGATCCCTCCCCTTCCCAAACCCAGCCCTCTCCAAGCTCCACCCCCCAGATCTCCCAACTCAGAGCTGGCAAATGTAGGGTAACCTCTGTGCCCCCTTTTCCTCACTGCCACTGCCTCCCCCACTGTGGCCCCCCGGTAGTCTGCCTGCGGGTACAACAGTCTCTGTTTACTTGTTGAGCATCATTTTATAATAGCTGTTTTTTGCAGCTGACGAGGAATCCCAGAAGTACTTTGGTCTCTACAATATTTCATGATGTTTTTATTCCCCCCCCCCCTCCAGGAATGGACTGGAGACCCTTCACCTTAGTTGGACCCCCCCCTTAACTCACAACAAATTCCTTCTTCTCTAATTATATGGTGCTCTTGTTTGTATTTGGTTCCTCGCTGTTTTTCTCAGAAAACGTAACTATGCCCTTTCTTCTGTCCCAGGCACATAGTTGTCTGTGGTCACATCACATTGGAAAGTGTCTCCAACTTCCTGAAGGACTTCCTACACAAGGACAGGGATGATGTCAACGTGGAGATCGTCTTTCTGCATAAGTAAGTGGCCGTTCATATCGGAATATAAGAATGTAAGAACATCAGAAGAGACCTGCTGGATTAGACCAGTGGGTCATCTAGTCCAGCATCCTTTCTCACGCAGGGGCCAACCAGTTCCTCTGGAGGGCCAACAACAGGGCACAGAGGCTGAGGCTTTCATAAGAACATCCAAAGAGCCCTGCTGGATCAGACCAGTGGTCCATCTAGTCCAGCATCCTGTCTCACAGTGGCCAACCAGGTCCTCTGGAGGGCCAACAATAGAGCATAGAGGCCGAGGCCTTCCTAAGAACATCAGAAGTGCCCTGCTGGATCAGACCAGTGGTCCATTTAGTCCAGCATCCTGTCTCACACAGAGGCCAACCAGTTCCTCTGGAGGTCCAACAACAGGACATAGAGGCTGAGGTCTTCCCCAGATGCTGCCTCCTGGCACTGAGATGCAGAGGCTGACTGCCTGTGAATGTGGATGATTCCTTTAATCACCAAGGCTAGTAGCCACTGATAGACCCTGTCCTCCATGAGTCTGTCCAATCCCCTTTTAAAGAAATATAATTTTCTCGTGGGGCTGCTGTGTGGACAGAAGGTGGTGGTGGTGGTGGCTCCTGCCTGCCAATTTTGCGGGGTCCTGCCTGTCACAGACCAGGTGGGTGGCAGAAGGAAATTCCCCCTCCCCAACAATGTCGCCCTGAACGACGCACTAACATCACCCAAATGTGGTGTCAGTGACACTGGGGGGGGGGGGCTGACACTCTGCTTTTTGGGCAAAACTCTATGGCTTGAGGTTGCTTTTACTATAGAGTTTCCCCCCAAAAGTAGAGTGTTGCCCCCAATGTTAGCGACATGCTGACGTCACTTCTGGGTGATATGAATGCGTCACCCACCCCCCGGAACGTCCCCTCCCAGCCCCCTGTCGGCAAGATGGAGCAACCTGGCAACCCACCCTTATCGGCTTGGAGGAAGGACAGAGTACGAATGTAGAGAAAAGCAGTTTGAAAACCACTGGCTCACCTAGCAGTGCCTTACCTGCTGTTATGAGATTAAAAATAAGCATTTCCACGTTAAAAAGGAAATCATCCAAATAATGAAACAAATCTGGCAGTGGATCCCAATTCACTCTACGACTTGTTCTCCTGCAAATCCCAAAGACTTGGAACCAAAAAAATAATTCCCTCTCCTGTGCAGGCTGTAATCCTAAACCCCAAATCGAACTCAATTCTGGCCAGTCACAGAGAGAAGCCCATGCAGGGCTTCCACACATGCAGGAGGAGGGTGGTCTTTGTGGCATTATACCCTGCTGACATCCTTCTCTAGGCTCCACTTCTGAATCTCCAGAAATTTCCCAACCTAGAGTTGGCATCGGGCTGAAGACATTCTTGTGTGAGCCGCTCTCAGGGGAGAACTTCCCGCCAAGTCTAGGATTGCTTTATATAGCTTAAGGTACGAATGCCAACTCATAACCGCACCCTGATTGGTCGGGAAAGCGGCTCACAGATGCTTTGAATAAAATAAATGAATGTAACTTTCCCAGTGCCGCAAGAACAGAAAAGTAGTAGACTAAAAAACAGTAGTGATTTGGCTTACTTGGAGGGGGGCGTAGTTGGAGCCAATGTTCCCTCTAAGCTGTGGAGTCCTGTGAGCAAAGATTTTACTTTGTGAGCTACTGGCATTAAAGTTGTGAGCGAGGATTTGGCTACTGCATAAATCAGTTTGCTCTGGAGCCATCCTTCCTAAGACAAGAATATGTGAGCCGGAGGCAAAAAAACTGTGAGCTAGCTCACACTAACTCAGCTTAGAGGGAAGACTGGTCGGAGCTCGACTTCTCCAGGCGAGTATCGATTGCACCAGAATGTCGATGCCAGTAGTCGTGAAGGCTCGAAGTTGTTGCTGTTGGTCACAGACACGCCCTTAAAAATAAAATCCCACCTCAGAATTGGCATGTGTTGCAGAGCAGGCAGTTTTTCAGAGAACATAGCTGTTTGCAAGGCCGTTTTGATGGCCCCGGTTAAAGACTGTACCACATGGAGAGCTGTGGCCGATTTCCAAACGAGAGGGATCAGTACCCTGATCAGCAGACAACGTTGCAGGAGAGGAATCCACGGGACTCACAGAGAAAGAGAGAAGTGGAAAGAACAGCAAAGTGGAAGACCAGGCATGTGGGGAGTTAGTATGGCTGCCAGCCTCCAGGGGGCGCCTGAAGATCTCCCGCTATTACAATTGATCTCCAGATGATCACGATCAGTGTTCCCTCTAAGCTGAGTTAGTGTGAGCTAGCTCACAGTTTTTTAGCCTCTGGCTCACACACTTTTGTCTTAGCTCAGGAAGGAGGGCTCCAGAGCAAACAAATTCATGCAGTAGCCAAATCACCTGCTCACAACTTTAATGCCAATAGCTTTCAAAGTAGAATTTTTGCTCACAGGACTCCACAGCTTAGAGGGAACATTGATCATGATCAGTTCCCCTGGAGGAAATGACAGCTTGGGAGGCTGCACTCTATGGCCTTATGCCATACTGAGGTCCCTCCCCTCCCCCAAGCCCCGCCGTCCCCAGGCTCCGCCCCCCAAATCTCCAGGAATTTCCCAACCTGAAGCTGGCAGACCTAGGAGTTAGAATGGCCACTATTCATAAGAAAAAATTTTTTGGTGGACATGGAATGTACATCTGTCCTTGTTCAGACTATCCCCACCACCATACCTTTAGTGAAACGAAGGCTTTGCAAAATAAATTCAAAAATTCAAAAATAAAAAATAAATAAGAGACCTTAGAGCAAAGCATTTCTCATGTGGCCAAATTATTTTTGCAAATTAAGGGTTTTAGTGAATTCCTTTTCTGGCCAAAATGCCTCTGAAGGATACCATCTTTTTTTTTTTTTAATGTTTCTTAATGAATGTGGAGAAATAAAATGAAAACACTGAGCACATATCTCTTTTCCTGGCAGTGAATTTTGCCGGTTTGGCCAAGAGGATTTTTTTTTTGGCAGAGCCAGTAAAATTCTGGCCAGCGGGCAACCTTAAAGCACATAGGAAGAGAGAAGGAAAAGAAGAGTAAAACACACACAAAAAAAAACATAAACAGCTCATCACTTCTCGAAAATTGCTTGCCTGCATGACAGAATTTTATGTTTACCTTGTTTGAATTTTTAAAAAATTAAGAAATAAATGGATGATATTCATGACTTGATTCCGCTGTGTTTTGTCTTTTTTCTTTCCCAAATTAGTATCTCCCCTAACCTTGAGTTGGAAGCTCTTTTTAAACGACACTTCACTCAGGTGGAATTTTTTCAGGGTTCAGTTCTCAATCCGCATGACCTGGCTAGAGTAAAGGTAATGGCTTCCTCCCGTTTTCTACCCCGTTGTTTGCTATCTACATTTAACCTGTGCTTACAATTTAAACTTTTTGAATAAGCTGTTCTGTGTCTTGGGGAAGCCTGGAAATTGTGGTTCTGTTAGGAAGGCTGGAGAACTCTAATGAAAAACTTCTCATATAGTCACCAAACGACAGTTCCTATAATGCTTTGTGGGAAGCCATGACAGTTAAACTGGTATAAAACTGATACAGGTTTATAAAGGAGATGTAAGCCCCAAACATTCTTCTTGAGAGCCAGTTTGGTCTCGTGGTTAAGTGCGTGGACTCTAATCTGGGAGAACTGGGTTTGATTCCCCACTCCTCCACTTGCAGCTGCTTGATGACCTTGGGTCAGTCACAAGCTCTGTCAGAGCTGTCCTTGAAAAAGAGCCGTTTGTGTCAGAGCTCTCTTAGCCCCACCCACCTCACAGGGTGTCTGTTGTGGGGAGGGGAAGGGAAAGGAGTTTGTAAGCCGCTCTGAGACACCTTTGGGTAGTGAAGGGCGGGGCATAAATCCAATCTCTTCTCTTCTCTCTTCTCTTGTTGTTTTGGGATGCCAGGTCCCTCATGGCAACTGGTGGGGCTAAGGGAGACTCCTCAGGAGCGAGAGAGAGGCCTCGGCCTTGTCAACAGTGATGCAATGACATCACTTCTGCTGTGCACCAGAAGTGACATCATCGCATCACCAGCGTTATAGTGCTGGTTTTGGGGCAAAATCTCTAAGGTAAAAATGGTTTCTAACAGAGGTTTGGCCAAAATACCAGAGCGATGCCAAGCCATGCAATGACGTCACTTCCAGAACACGCAGGAAGTGATGTCACCAGCTATAGCAGCCTAGGCCTTCCTTCCCTGCTGGTAAGTCCCCCCTGCTGGCCAGGTGATTGGTTTGGGGGTCAGAGGATCTCTTGCATTCAGCAAGGGACTGGGAACGCTATTATTGCTCCAGCTTCAGAGTGGGTCATCAGGAGCATTACAGTTGGTTATTACAGTAAAAAGGAGACAGGCGGAAATGTTACTGTGCTGGATTGTAAAAAGGGGGTAATTGAGGGTAAATGTGGAAACTGAACTTTAGGGTATCAATAGATATGGGGAGGGGATCTCTCACCCCAAGCATACTTGAAAGATGCAGTGTTGAAGCAAGAAACCATCCCAGCCCTCGCGTGGCTCCTGGGGGAGACCTCACCCTTTCTTGCTGAGAAATACTGAGACGAGCAAGTTCTAGAGAAGCTGGCGAAGTCGGGAAATGATCTTCTTCCCAGTTTGTGCGGACTCTAATCTGGGAGAACCGGGTTTGATCCCCCACTCCTCCACTTGCACCTGCTGATGTGACCTTGGGTCAGTCACAAGTTCTGTCAGAGCTGTCCTTCAAAGGGCAGTCCTCGAAAGAGCTCTCTCGGCCCCGCCGACCTCTGTTGTGGGGAGGGGGAAGGGGAAGGAGATTCGTAAGCCGCTCTGAGACTCCGAGTGAAGGGCGGGGTATAAATCCAATCTCTTCTTCTTCTTCCGAACGTCGAACTGCTCCTTATGTTCGCTGTCTCCTTTGGTGTCTCAGATAGAGTCAGCAGACGCGTGCCTCATCCTTGCCAACAAATACTGCCCAGACCCGGATGCGGAAGACGCCTCCAATATTATGAGGTACTTTAAAAAAAATTTCATTTTACTTTACGAAGCCCAAAAAACATCACTGCATAAGCAGAGGTCATTTCGGGGGGGATCGCAGCCCCCCCGGGTGAGGTACGGGGGGCGGGGCACATGACGAAGCCCCGCCCCCTGCTTCCAGCCGCCCCGCTTCCGGTCCTCATTCAACCAGGAGGAGGCAGGAGAAGGGGGAGGGTAAGTTGCTTCCTCCCTGCCTCTCCCCACCCCTGCCTGCCTGGGGCCAGGGAGGGCCTTCGCGGGGCTTCCTCGCACTCCCGCCGGCCTTGCAGGTCCACCGCCGGGCCCCTTATGAGGCTCGGCAGTGGAGCTGCAAAGGCGGTGGCGGCTGGGACTGTTGGGGGTGGGGTGTGTGGCCTTATGACACACTTCCGGTGATGTCAGGGGGTGTGGCATATGCTAATGAGTTCCCCTAGCTCTTTTCCTACGAAACGACCCCTGTGCATAAGGATCTTGGCCGAGATCGGTGGTGGATGTTGGTGAACATTTTACTGCCCATTTCAGCACAGATTTGGATCTCTGTGTTCAGATGTCACAACGAAACAGAGGCTTGTGGTGATGGGCTAAAACCTGGCCTGTTGCCGTGCGTACCCTCTCCCTTCCTTCTCCTCTCATGTAGGGTGCATCTGAAGGCTTTCCTGATTATGGAAGATTTCAGTATAGCTCCAGTTTGTTGTAGTATCTGAATGCACGTTCCTGGAGGGGATTGGAGTCTGTTTCCTCCTCAAGAAAACAAAGCTCTAAACCCTCACGTGAATTCTGATTCTGGTTAGGGGAGAACCAAACTCCTGTTGTTCCAGGATTTGGTCATCACAAGAAATTGGAGATTGCACACTTCTGAAACCAGAAAGCTCAGAGTAGCAGTTCTCTTACAAAGGAATTTCAAAGGGAGAGCGGAAAGAGACTGCTGAATTGTAAATGATAATGAAGCTCAAGACAGTGCATCCTCCTGGATTGAATTGAGACCAGTATTCCCTCTAAGCTGAGTCACTGTGAGTTAGCTCACAGTTTTTTTAGCCTCCAGCTCACACATTTTTGTCTTAGCTCAGGAAGGATGGCTCCAGAGCAAACTAATTTATGCAGTAGCCAAATTGCTCACTCACAACTTTAATGCCAGGAGCTCAGAAAGTAGAATTTGTGCTCACAAGACTCCACAGCTTGGAGGGAGCATTGATTGTGACCTAGGTTGCCTTTCTCATTACCAATGCTGATTTATCCATGCCTACTAGCCCTCTGCATATCACCCCTACGGGTGTGCAAAAAAAAAAAAAATCGGCCCATTCGGATTTGGCCGAATCAGGCAGAATCAATTTCGGCTGGCAGTAAGACTCCCGCATGTCAGTTTCATCAGTAGGAGCCGATTTGGGAGTCTTTCGGGAGTCTTTCGGCCAGCCGAATGTCAATTTCAGCTCCATTATATCCTATGGGCCGTTGAAGTCAATGGCGAAAACATAGGGTATATTCTGTGGGCTGGAAGGGAGGGGGCTTGAGGGAGAGACTCCAAACTCGCAGGGTAGCTGCTGGAGCCTCTCCCCAAGATACCAACCATGTTTCAAGAGCATTGGACCAGGGGGTCCAATTCTACAGGCCCTCAAACAGGTTTCCCCATCCCCTCCATTGTTCTCTATGGTGGGAGTTTGTAAGCCGCTTTGAGACACCTTTGGGTAGTGAAGGGCGGGGTATCAATCCAATCTCCTCTCTTCTCTCTCAGCCCCGCCTACCTCACAGGGTGTCTGTTGTGGGGAGGGAAGTGAAAGGAGTTTATAAGCCGCTCTGAAACACCTTTGGGTAGTGGGCGGGGTATCAATCCAATCTCCTCCTCCTCCTCCTCCTCCTCCTCCTCCTCTTCCTCTTCTTCTTCTTCTTGACTTCGGTCTCTCCTTGTCCATTTTACCTTCACGGCAACCCTGTGAGGTAGGTTAGGCTGCGTGTGTGTGATTGGCCCTCGGGCACCTAGATGACCTTCCATAGCAGAGTACAACAGGGTCTCTCAGATGCTCCTCCTATTCAGGGGTCATTTTGTAGAAAAAGAGGTGCAGGAGCTCATTGGCATAACTCATTAGCATAACTTATTTGCATATGCCACGCCCCCTGACATCACCGGAGGTGTGTCAGAAGGCAACACCCACCACTCAGGCTCCACTGGACTGTTTTGGATTGCTAGCTATTGGGGGGGGGAACGCGCAGATCTGTCCTCGCAGAGGAGGGAGAGCTTGTACCTGAATAAAACTTGGTCTTAAAGGTGCCACTGGACTGTTTTGGATTGCTAGCTATTGGGGGGGGGGGAATGCACAGATCTGCCCTTACAGAGGAGGGAGAGCTTGTACCTGAAGGCGGGCCGGGGGGCTCTGCAACTTACCTGACTGCTTCTTGCTCCTCGTGGCCCAACTGAGGGCTGCTGGGAGCAGGGGACGGGGCTTGTTGCATGTGTCCACCCCCTCGGCTCCTTACTGCTGGAGCTCCGCTCCTGTGCGCTCCCGCAGGAAATGACCCTTGCTCCGTCGACACTTGAACCATTAGACTGTGCTGGCTCTCCAAGAGGAGTCCAGGACTGGCAGGGACTTATTGGTCATCTTCTGGCTGGGGAAGAAGTCCTGGTGGGCCGTTGCTCTAAGCCCTGCCCCTCCAACCCCACAGTGGGACTGGTGAGGAGGAATCCAGGGCCCCCCGGCAGAGAGCCGCTGTGCCTGTTCTTCATTTTGCCAAGGAGCAGCGGTGTGCGGCTTTGGCCAGCGGTGGTGCAGGACAGCTGGTGAGGAGGAGGGTGGGCACGGCATCATCAGTTGCTGGGTGAGGTGTGGTGTGCCTGAAGTGGACAAGCACAGTAGCCGTGTTATCGTAGGCAAGGTCCCACCCCTCAAGGAGGAGCACAACGACACCTCCTTTCTCTCCAGATGGCTCTTCAGTCCTTTGGGAGGCGAGGAGGGGCTGTGGCCATTTTCAAGGACACGCAGTCCAACCCCGGTGGCTCCCAGCACACAAATTGGGGGACTCATGGTTTTCTGTCTGTTTAGCTAGTGACCCCTAGCAGTCATAGCCCCCACCATGACACAATAGGCAGGGGTCATTTCGTAGAAAAAGAGGTGCAGGAGCTCATTAGCATAACTCATTAGCATAGCTAATATGCCACACCCCCTGGCATTACCGGAAGTGTGTCAGAAGGCAACACCCACCACTCAGGATTGCTAGCTATGGGGGGGGGATACACATGCAGATCTGCCCTCACAGAGGAGGAATAGCTTGTACCTGAATAAACCTTGGCCTTAAAGGTGCCACTGGACTGTTTTGGATTGCTATTGGGGGGGGGGGGCTCTGCAACTTACCTGGCTGCTTCTTGCTCCTTGTGGCCCGGGGCTGCTGGGAGCAGGGGGTGGGGCTTGTTGCATGTGCCTGCCCCCTGGGCTCTTTACTACCGGAGCTCCACTCCTGTGCGCTCCTGCAGGAAATGACCCCTGCCAATAGGAATTTTCAAATCTCTGTGGTGAAATTCTTAAAGCATCCTGGAGATTCTTAAAGCATCCTGATTTTACTACTTGTTCCAAAACAGAAAGTGACAGCCAAGCATGAACTGATACAATTTCCCCCTTAACCCCCCCCCCCAGCATTTCTCCATTGAGCAAGAGCAGTGGATGGGGAGAATTGCCAGGAGATCTCCCACTGGAACAGGGTACGGGGCATCTCTCCCTAGCTGGACTGGATGGACTACTAGTCTGTGATTCAGGAGGACACCTCTGCTGTTCGTCTGGGTGGCCAGGGCCATTACATTTGTGGCCCCCAACGAAACCGCTTCTAACAGTGTCATAAGCAGTGGGTCAGCAGGTCTATGTGATTTTGGAGTCCCAGGTATTATTGGTTTGGAGAGGGGGGCTATAGATAGGGTGGCCAGATCATGGTGGTGCCATTTGGCATTGCAGCAATGCCATGACATCACTTCTGGTTCGCACTGCAAGTGACATTGCATCATTGGCATGATGCTGATCAGGTAGGTCCCCATACCTCCAGGCTTCTGCTGGGTACCAGCACTGGGTTGGCAACCCTAGCTACAGAAGTGCAAAGGAGCACCAACCCCTCTGTTGCAGTACTCTGTAGTGGGATTGTGCATGAGGCCCCCAAACATTTATTTTTGAAACCTACTGTGGGAAAACGTGCCTGCTGTGGCCTGCAGGCCCCATTGCTGCCCTGCCCTCCGAGGGGTTCCCAACTCCCTGGAGGGGCTTTTCTGTTTCTCTAGGGCAACTCTCCACCATCACCTGATTATTATAGGGATTTCCCACTGAGAGCATCAGGGCTCCCAGCTCCCCTTCCCAATTCTGATGCCTTGCCTCTATGGCTCCCAGCACCTGGCTACCACAGGGACAGTTTAATGCCTTGGGCACCCCTGTAGGAATAGCCACTTTCCAGTCCCACTGGAGCCCCTTTTAAAATAGCATGTCTGAAAAGGTGGAGGTCTATGTAGTACAGAGAACCACTCCCAGCATCAAAAGTTTAAAGTATTTATTAAAAAGAAAATGTTCACAAGCATACTTTTAGCACAATGCCAGATCTGAGTAAGGGATACAAAAGAACTTGGTAAAAAAAAATGCAAATCCTTTGTCCCTTTCTCTGCACATGCTCTAACTGATGGTCAAAGGAAAGGCTCTTTCACTTAGCTGTTCTAGATCTCTGCAAATTTCCATTACCTTCAGGCTCCCTTCAGATGTCCAGACCACCTGCTTGCGAACCAGAGCTCAGAGTTTTCCTCAACGAAGCATCCCAAAGAAAGAGATCTATTTCCTGTTGCACTGAGATCTTATCATCTCTGTCTCCCCTCCCACTTGACCCCAGTCAGTCCAGGTCAAGGCAGCTTTTCCTGCTGTCAATCTACTTCCTCAGCCTCTTTAGAATATGATACCTCCAAACCCCTGTTTCCTGCTTGGAGAAGGAGGTGAGGGGAGAAGGGGGAAGGTGTGTCTAAACCTATTAGCATTTGAATGAAGGTGAGCCTGGAAAACCATTGATGAGCTTCTTCCTTCCCAGATAAAGAGGGGAACTTTAAAAATAAAGGGGGGACTTTAAAAATGCCAGCTTCCCAAGAGAACATACATTTAGTCACACCTACATTTTAATCTGCTGAGAGAACGTGTGCTTTGATTTAAAATTACATAAGAATATTAAAGAGAAAATCAGATGCAAATTTGTAAGCTTGTAAATAGATTCCACCTACTTAATTAAAAAATAGGGGCAAAACAGACTCCTCTTGTGTACTCGCAGAACAAACAAGTTGATTCAATAAAATTGAATGCTTAATTAAATGCTTCACCTGAAAGACTATTAAAAGGAGAATTAGACTGGGATAGAGATACTAACAAATTACATCCCACTTGGCAAAGCAAGCCGTGCAAGTCCACACTCGACTGTGCAATCTGCAAGTGATACATTTTCCTCCACCCGCAGTACCTATCAGGAAATCTTCATTTGCAGTATTGCTACTGAAATACTTCTTTGCATGGATGTTTTTTGGGGGGTAGTATGCAAGAGAGGCAGGAACGTTGTGTGGAATTTCATTCCCGGTGCCCCTTATGCGAAGGATCACGTTGTGAAGAAATTCTGACCCCCACTTCATCGAAGACATCCAGGACATTTTTGGTTCTACATTATCCTAAAGGCATCCATTCAGATATATGTTTTAATGGTCGGCTTGCTTTCCAAGAAATTCAGATCACTTAAGAGTCCTCCCCCTTTCCAGTCAGTGGGTGGAGTCCATCCAGCGTCTTCATTGCCAGCAAGATAAGCTTTCACCTTCTTCCATCTTGGTCTATTTGTAATCATATAGACCAGTAAGAGACAGTTAAGCTGACAACAGGGTCCAAGCATCATTTTCTTGGGCCCACTGGAACTTGTAAGGGGGACCCCTATCCTGCACATTTGCCATGATCCCATTGCATTACAGTTGCCACTTACAGAATCACAGAATGTTAGAGTTGGAAGGGACCTTGCAGGTCGTCTAGTCCAACCCCCTGCACTCTGCAAGAGCATAGCTGAAAGAGAGCCCTACAACATACCCAAAAGATGGCTGTCCAGCATCCGCTTGAAAACATCCAGTGAAGGAGCATCCACCACCTCCCGAGGCAGACTGTTCCACTGCTCAACCACTCTTACAGTTAGGAAGCTTCTCCTGATATTTAGCAGGTAATGACTCCCTTGTAATTTCCACCCATTAGACCTAGCCTTGCAATCCGGAGCAAGAGAGAATAGATCTGCTCCATCTTCTACATGACAGCCCTTCAGATACTTGAAGACTGCAATCGTGTCCCCTCTAAGCCTTCTCTTTCCCAGGTTAAACAGACCCAGCTCTTTCAGCCTTTCCTCATAAGACTTTGCCATCACTTACCTTTGCCGCCCATCCCCCACCCTTGCTCAGTGGAGTGGTAGGAGAAGGGATAGGGCTGCCAAGCCACGGCGGGGGATCCACACGTCTTCACAGGATCCCTGCCGCGGGGGACAGCGATACACGTTGCACCGCCGTCGCCAGGATGTGACGCTACGCGTCGCTCTGGCAACGGGGCTGTTTGGAGTCCCGTTGCCAGAGCGACGCGTAGCGTCACATCCTGGCGACGGCGGTGCAACGCGTATCGCTGTCCCCCGCGGCAGGGATCCTGTGAAGACGTGCGGATCCTCCGCCGCAGCTTGGCAGCCCTAAGAAGGGATATGGAATGAAACAGCACATGGACGTCACTTCCTGTTTCAAAACAGAAAGTGATGCCGTGATGGTTTAGGAATTTCAACAATTTCTGTCATGATGTCATTTCCTGTTCCAAATTTCTTGGAAGTCACTGCCTCTTTTGAAACAGGAAGTGATGTCATGACAGTCATTTTTTTAAAAATCCCTCCATTGCATACAATCTCATCAGTCAAGGAAGAGAATTCTCTATATGAATTCTGAAATTTCTGACATCATGCCATGGACCAAATGGGGGCTGTTCTGCCGTGCATCCCACCCTTCCCATTTTGTTTCCCATAAAATCCTGCTCAAAGAAGAATTCAGCAGAGCTTTCAGGCTATTTTGTAATGTTTGGATTAGTCTAAGGATATTATCCTGTCAAAGTTTGAATTTATTTTTAATTCTAATGGGCCAGTGTCATTGCACATGTATTATACATTAACCAGTTCACTTTAAACTGTCATTTTCCTGGGCTTTTTCATTGCAAAATCATGAATTACCTCCCCAAAGTCAATCTCTCTTGCAATTTTACACTCAATAGACAAAACAGCTAGGTAGTTTAACCAGTCTTGCCCCCTAATAGAATGCTACAAGTAGAGGGGGGTTTAGTTGCCAGGAAGAGCTAATTAGAGTCAAGATGCATAAGTAACTGAGCAATAAATACAGCTAAGATTGGAATAACACATTTGGTAGGACATGTAAAGTAAAGGTAAAGGTTCCCTTGCTCGAAAGCCAGTCAAATTCGACTCTAGGGTTGCGGTGCTTATCTCCGTTTCCAAGCCGAAGAGCCAGTGCTGTCCGAAAACGTTTCCGTGGCCATGTGGCCGGCATGACTTAACACCAAGGCGCACGGAACACTGTTACCTTCTTCCCACCGAAGTGGTCCCTATTTATCTACTTGCAATGTCTTGCTTTCGAACTGCTAGGTTGGCAGGAGCTGGAACTAGAGACGGGAGCTCACTCCGTCTTGCGGCACCTGGGTCTCGAACTGCTGAGCTACCGACCTTCCACAGCCTGCAGTTCAGCATCTTAACCACTTGAGCCACCGCAGCTCCTATGTAAATAGCAGCAAATTGGCATACAGATGATAAAGTTGTTAACAACAGATGTGAGAACTAAGTTTGAGTCCAGTGGCACCTTTAGGACTGACAAAGTTTTATTTCTGGGTATAAGTGAGAACTGAGTGACTTAGCGTGTGTAGTGAGATAAGAAGCCAATGTCTCTGTTCCATTGTCTGAGTGTTGTAATGACTTGTATCCATTTATCCTTTGGATAGCTGCGGTGGCTCAAGTGGTTAAGACGCTGAACTGCAGGCTGTGGAAGGTCGGTAGTTCAGCAGTTCGAGACCTGAGTGGGCCGCATGACGGAGTGAGCTCCCATCTCTAGTTCCAGCTCCTGTCAACCTAGCAGTTCGAAAGCAAGACATTGCAAGTAGATAAATAGGTACCACTTCGGTGGGAAGGTAACAGCATTCCGTGCGCCTTGGTGTTGAGTCATGCCGGCCACATGACCACGGAAACATCTTCGGACAGCGCTGGCTCTTCGGCTTTGAAACGGAGATGAGCACCGCAACCCTAGAGTCGGACTCGACTGGCTTTCAAGCAAGGGAACCTTTACCTTTACTATCCTTTGGTGTAAGGTTTGACCTAATACACCACTCAGGACAATGGAACTCCCCCAGGGCTTAACAGAGATATTGGCTTTGTTAGCTCTTGCATTTGTGTGTTTATTTGCTGCCATTCGTTGATCTTACTGGCCACCTTGATAGAATCTCAGCTTTACTTATTCATCTTGGCTCTGACTGGCCCTTTCTGATGGCTGCCCCCCCCATCTTCCTGTATGTAGGGCTTAAGGAAATTCCATTTCACTTTGTCTGAGGAAGCGTACTTGCGCATGAAAGCTTATACCGTGAATAAAACTTTGTTGGTCTTAAAAGTGCCACTGGACTCAAATTTAATTCCAACAGTACTTTGCTTTCCTGCTGTTTGTAAACTTTCTGAAGGCGGGGCTGAAAGTGGGGGATTCCAGTTAGGGAATTGCATTGAGACCAGGAGGAGTTTTGTCATGCTCTCTAGCCAGTCGAAATGCTTACAAAATGTCGTTGGAGCGCAATAAAACCAACCTGAGAGTAAATATTTCCAGGCAATAGTCATGTGGATTATCCCACCCAGTGAACCAGATGGCGTCACTTTGCCACGTAGCCAATCATATTTAGTTGTGACAGCATCTCTAAGAGGAACCTCATCAACTGCATTTTTCAAAACTAAATTTAGAGAAAAAGGAAACTAGAGTTATAAAATAGAGGGTTCCAAATAGCACTAAGGTACAGGATCATGCCTACAGTACCTCTGTTGAACAAAAATAGTCAACATTGCATTCTTTTCTTTCTTTTCAGAGTAATTTCCATCAAGAATTACCATCCGAAAATAAGAATAATCACCCAGATGCTGCAGTATCACAACAAGGTAATGGAAAACCTGGGGGACACCCACCACTTCCTAACTTTATGTTGTAACTCCATTTCTGTCGTGTCTTGAAGTACGCCAATGTGCGGAAATATATTAGTGATTCATGTCCCCGACCTTAATTAACCTGTAATTTCGAAATCTATAAGGGTGCTTACAATGCACAGTTATTCCTTGCACATATTTGTTGTTGTTCAGTCGCACAGTCGAGTCAGACTCTTCGCGACCCCAGGGACCAGATCACGCCAGGCCTTCCGGTCTTCCGTCGTCCTCTGACGTTGGCTCAATTTCATGTTCGTTGCATCGATGACACTGTCTAACCATCTCATCCTTTGCCGTCCCTGTCTTCTTTGACCTTCACTCTTTCCCAGCGTCAGGGTCTTCTCCTCCAGTGAGTGCTCCCTTCTTATTGGGTGGCCAAAGTATTTGAGCTTCAGTTTCATTATCTGGCCTTCCAGGGAACAGTCAGGGTTGATTTCTTCATGTGTGGTAAAATTCTCCCTACTACTTGGCAGGGTTAGAGAACTCATCTTAAGAGGGTGTCTGGAAGACCCTAACCAATTAGGGTTTAGTTCTTAAGAACCCATACAGGTGACCCCCCCCCCAGAGAGCCTTGTCGCTCCAGGGTAGCTTGGTTATCTGTACCGCCATCATGACATTACCATTTCTCAGATGCCAGTGTGTGGTGAAATGTGTGATAAAACAGTCATTTGTAGACACCCTTTGATTTCAGGGAGAACAGAGGTGACCCATGTGACCCCCTCCATTCGCACAGAGTCTCTACTGTCCTCCACAACCTCTGTCACACAGGGTCAGGGTTACAGGTAGGTCAGGCTGCCACAGTTCACCACCCATCTTGCCTCTTTTTAAAACGTATAGGGAGCCATGACCGGTGTCCCCTCTAAGCCGAGTTAGTGTGAACTAGCTAACAGTCTTTTAGCCTCCAGCTCACAGATTTTTGTCTTCGCTCAGGAAGGAGGGCCCCAGAGCAAAGTAATTTATGCAGTAGCCAAATCGCTTGCTGTTGGGATTCTTTTTAAGTAAGTCAGCAGAGTGTTAAGAGACTGAGTCCATGGTGTGTATTAAAATATAAAAGTTTACTATAACCCTAACATGAGAAAAAGGTACACAGGATATAAAATAACAAAGAGCTATTATGCCTACATCCTTGCAGCTAAAAGGTAAAACGGGGAAGAGCCGAATGGCATCTCCTTCTCTAGTCAGAACAAAGAGAGGAAAACGTAACCAATATGCTAAATACTTGACACCTTGGTTTCCAATCAGACTAGCAAATTAGCTCCAAAGTTCCGGGGCATCCTATTGTCTAAACAGATTGCTTACAAACAAACATGTGACTTCCTGTGAGTAACATAAACAAACATTTAACCCCAGATATACTGAGTGTTTTCAACTTGTAATACCCAACACTTGCTCACAACTTTAATGCCTGTAGCACACAAAGTAGAATTTTTGCTCACAAGACTCCAGAGCTTAGAGGGAGCATTGGCCACGACCTTTTCACACACCAGGTCCTCTCTCCCCTGGATCTGAACCCAGACAAATGGTAACCATACAAACTAAGCTTGTTATTCTTGAACCTGTTAAACACCGTCCTTCTGTTGTATGCTAATTTACTGCTCACCCTCTACCTATATGTAATGACTGGCAATTTCCATTTCATTGTATCTGAAGAAGTGTGCGTGCCCACAAAAGCTAATTCCTTAAATGAAACTTTGTTGGTCTTAAAGGTGCCACTGGACCCAATTTTTTGCCCGGCCAATAAATAAATGAATCTGTGAAACAGGAGCCAATTTATTTAACAAAGGGAAAGTGCACTTTGCATGTCTGGCCCAATCTGCATCTAGCATTTGCTCCGCTGTCTTACCAAACCCAGGCTGGAACAGAAATTCCCTTCTGCATGGCATGCCACCTTCACGTTGATTGATTGTCGGATTTTGTGGCAGTGTCCAAGACTGCATTGCCGTTGATCTCTCGGTTTTATGGTAGCCGCCTGCATAGATTTATGGCCGTTTTATGGCCATTCGGGGGTGACGCTACAGTCAGTACGGCATTGGCCCCCGGGGTATCTGAATGTGGTTTTGAGCTGCATCTTTTCCTGTTCCAGTGTGGGTCTGGTAAGACAGCGGAGCAAATGCTAGATGCAGATTGGGCCTTTGAGAGGCTCAAGTTCAGGCCCATAGCTACAGCGGGGCATTTCGGGGCCTGGCCCCCTGACTTCCTGTTAAGGCCCCATGACTTCCATCCAGCCCCCAGGCCCCTCAGCTCTCTGGGCTGCCCGGAGGACTCCCCACCACCACCCCTTCCCCAAGCGTGGCTTGCTTCTCTGCGTAGGAAGGCAGAGCGTGAACACCGCAACGGTGAGTGGTTTTTTTAAAAACTATCTCATTTTGTGATGTGAGTGCCCCCTGACTTATTGAAAGCCCCCCCCCAAAATTTTTTTTGCAAAATCCTGGTTAGGGGCCTGCTCAAGTTGCGGCACTGAAACGGTTTAAATGAAGAGCGGACCCCTTCGTGACCGATGCCTGCCCCCTGCCGGCGAAACGTGGGCGCGCTCTCTGTTTGAGTCGAGGGGAGTTCTCTTACCGCCGTTTTCCTCTCCCACAGGCCCATCTGCTCAATATCCCTAGCTGGAACTGGAAAGAAGGGGATGATGCGATTTGCCTTGCAGAGCTGAAGCTGGGCTTCATCGCCCAGAGCTGCCTGGCCCCGGGCCTCTCCACCATGCTGGCCAACCTCTTCTCCATGAGGTCATTCATCAAGGTAACGTCTTGACTCGTTGGAGGAGGTCAGCGGGAGGGGGGGGGTTCAGTTTGTCAGGAGGCCGAACAGACAGCGCGGCCTAAACTCAAAACAGAGAGAAATACATCAGCCCTGATAGCGAAAGCATAAAATGACGTATTCTGAAGTCGGGGTAGGGGAGGAGAGGTCCACACCGCCTATTACAAATTGGGCCGTGGTCCAGGTTCCTTCAAATGAGGGGGTTGTTTTTTTTCTCTCTCTTTCAATTGGCATGTCCACGGCTATTAAACATTGTTCAAAGTGCAAGCTTTTAACATTCTAGCTTCATTCAGATAAACCACATGTTTATCAATGTGGAAAACCTTTTCTGTAAACAAAGAAGAAAAACTTTCTCTGTCCAATCTGCATGACAACAAAGAGCCGGTAGAAAAATGGGTGATCGCTTCTCTTCTTTTCCTTTTTTCTTCTCCCCATCAAGTGATCAGGGAAATTCAGAGCCAGTTTGGTGTAGTGGTTAAGTGCGCGGACTCTAATCTGGGAGAACCAGGTTTGATTCCCCACTCCTCCACTTGCACCTGGCTGGATGACCTTGGGCAAGCCATGGTTCTCGCAGAGCTGTTCCTGAAAAAGAGCAGTTTCTCTCAGAGCTCTCTCGACCCCACCCACCTCACAGGGTGTCTGTAGTGGGGAGGGGAAGGGAAAGGAGATTGTAAGCCACTCTGAGACACCTTTGGGTAGTGAAGGTGCGGGGTATAAATTCAATCTCTTCTTCTCTTCTTCAGATCTCCTCTCTGGAGTCAGGAAGCAATTTTTCTCCAGGCCAGTTTGGCCGGGGATCTTGGATCTTCCGGGCATGGAACAGGGGTCACTGGGGGTGTGTAGGGGGGTATTTCTGAATTTTCTGCATTGCACAGGGGGTTGGACTAGAGGATCCTGGAAGTCTCGTCCAACTCTATGATTCAATGTCCCTCTCTGCAAAGATAAGTATGAGCCACATATTTGTACCAAAGCCCAACCTGTCAGCGCTATTTATTTATTTATTTGTTTGTTTCCCCTCACTCAGTTAGGCCTTCAAGATTGATATGGCAATAATAATGATGGTGACGATGACAACTCTGGCCCAGTAATTGTCAAACACTTGGGAGGGCGGGTGTAGTGGGATACCCAACGCAATCCTCCCGTGATCCCTCAGTTTTAATATGTCCTCAGTTCATTTTGGCTGCTGTTTTTGTCCAAATACAAGAGTGTCTGCACGTCGCTGGAGACATGATGACATCACTTCTGGTGTAGACCGGAAGTGACATCACCACACGACCAGTGACAAAGGTCCGGACCTCAGTTTGCCCCTGGTAAGTCCCCTCACTGGCCCAGAGCGGGGGCACACTGCCTCTGACGGGAGTCTGGGAACCCTGCTGCTTTCTGCAGATTCAGACTTTGGGGAGGGGGGGCATGTAAAAAGCAAGGAAGCTGGCTGTAGTCATGGAAACAAAGTGGCAGTACATCAAACGTGATGCCGTTGTCCATTTGTAACGCTTTAGTCCGTCGCGGTCTTGTACAGGGGTGCCACAGATATCTGTCTGCAGGGTACCAACAGCATCCCTAGTCCTGAAAGCAGAAGTGCTCGCAAATGGGAAACGTATTTGCTTTGCCGCCTTTGTCCTCGGATCACTTTAAGGAGCCAGGAAAGATAACTGGTAGGGGAACGAGAGTGCCTGCCTGTCTTGTCTTGTCTTTCTTTTTCTGCCACCAAGTCACAGCCAACCTATGGTGAAACCTACAGGGGTCTCCAGCCAACAAATATCAGGGTCGCTCTGCAGAGGCAGGCCGAGGGCACATCACCTCTGAATGTCTCTTGCCTTGAAAACCCCACCAGGGGTCGCCATAAGTCAACTACGATGTGACGGCACTTTCCGTCCCCACACTTAACCCTTTCTTTCCTGGGAAAGCGGTTACCCTTGGGTGAGACAGCATATCCCCCCAACCTCGGCTATCTTGGTGGCTTCATCGATTTCCCCTTCTCGACTCCACAGTAATGCCGCAAAGTAGTCCGGCGTGTGAGGAAGACTTTTGAGCATGCAGGCTGCCATAGGAGCGACGCTGTCAACGGCTGAGGGTTTCCAAACAGAAGCGGCTTTCTTTCCGCTGCCGTTCTCTTTGACCTCAGAAGCTGCGAATGTGTAAAGTTTGTAAGCATCTCAGAACTACCGGCTTGGCATCGAAAGGGTGCAGACAGGGAAGCTTGCCCTTTGACAGAACAATATTTCTGAGTTGGTCCCAGACCACGTATGACATCCTCTGGGCAAATAATACTAGGGGAAAGACACATGTTTAGAAGACTGCCAACAAAAATCTTAGTGGAAACCTTGTCATTTTCGAGGAATAGAGTGAAGCGGAAAGTTCTCCTCCTCATTCTCCCTTGCCTGATTACAGAGCAGTAGAGTACATCATAAATATTTGGTCAATCAAGGACAAGTGTACATGATTACATGTGACGCAGCACACGTTTAACTGATTACACTCTAACTTTGCAGCCAAATTATTTGTGTAAACTCTTTGCCCCACATAAGCAGTAAAACAAACTTGGAAGATTCAAAACGTTATTTTGCAGGCTGATATTTTCCTTTTGCTTTCGTAACGGCATTCTTCATATGGAAACTCTTATTTTTATATCAAATCAGGCACAGGGCAAATAAATTCTCCCCAAATGTATAATGTACAATTGTCCATGATTTGAACAGTTTCTGAAAATACTTTTTTAAAAAGGTAATGAAGATTTTAAACAGCGTGACTTCCGGTTGGTAGATTGGCGATGGCGGTCGCTCACCTCAGTTCACGGGGAGGCGATTAGCACACCAGTGGCAAGGAGGGGTGCTGCCTCAAGCGGCACCCCCACGGAGCCCTTGCAATGGGTTCCAGGCCAGAGGGCTTTTGAGGGTTAGCCTTTTCGACGGCTCGATGCCGGAGAATAGAGGCTTCCCTCTGCCCTGACGGTCCTACCGCTGAGTGACCATATGGTACAAGCGAATTCGACCAGGACAAGCACAGGAGATCGAGCGGAATAATGAATCAGAGAGTGAGGTCTGTGAAAGGACCAACAATGAACGTGAGTTTGAAGTAAATGGACTATTTTGACAAAACGGAGTACCCCCCCCGGTGGGAAAAGCGGAGCGCAAGGAGGGACGCCTCTTGAGCGCAGAGACAGATCAATGCGGCGAAGGGGGTAGGGGGGAAACAAACAGCGTGACTATATTGAGAGACTATATTGAGAGTAACGATAGTGAAAAGACTTCAAGCCCGGACAAAGCGGTTTGAAATTGTAAACAAAGAGGGAACATGGCGGCTTCCCGAGGAAAGTTTAAACCGAAACCAGGCAGCCAGAGTCCAAGACCGGAAGAGGGAGCAGACGTCATGAAGTTACTAGCGGATATGCTGAAGCCAGTAATGGAGCAACTCGGTGGTATTAACCAGCAACTGGCTACACTGAATCAAAACCCAGCCCTCGCAAAGAGTTGATGTCACAAGGAATAAGTGTCACCATGGAAAGATCTGCTCAGCCTTAAGCAAGAATTTCCCAGAGGTCCCTTTTCTCCTTGATGTTTCATGAAGGCTGCCCGGAACCTCCCTCTGCTTACAGAAGGAGTCCTCCCTGTGTGTCAGAGGGACCAGCCAGAGGGTTGGATCCTGCTAGGTTTGCACGGGATGATGGGATCTGCACAGACATAAAGGCAGACCAAACAGTTTGGTGAGACTCAGCGAGAAGAGGAACTGGGTGAGAGCTCCCAGTCCACGGACTTTCAGTGAAATTCTCTGCCTTCAGACGAGGATATTTTGAAGCATGGGGGTAGGGGTAATAAAGAGTTTCGTTTCTTATATGGCCGGGGTCCAACATACCTGAGGGACCGCTTTTCTCCATACATACCCCAGGGAGCACTATGGTCGGGGTCTCAAAACTGACTGGCCCTCCCATGTTCCAAGGATGCCAGGCTGGCCACAACCAGGGCCAGGCCTTCTCAGTGGCAGCTCCATACTAGTGGAGCAAGCTCCCAGAAGAGATCAGGGCCCTGTGGGATCTTTTAGAAGAAGGAGAGATTAGATTTATTCCCCGCCCTTCACTACCCAAAGGTGTCTCAGAGCGGCTTACAATCTCCTTTCCCTTCCCCTCCCCACAACAGACACCTTGTCAGGTAGGTGGGGCTGAGAAACCTCTGACAGAAAAGGCTCTTTTTCAAGAACAGCTCTTATCAGAGCTATGGCTTACCCAAGGTCATCCAGCAGGTGCAAGTGGAGGAGTGGGGAATCAAACCCGGTTCTTCCAGATTAGAGTCCATGCACTTAACCACTATACCAAACTGGCTCTGTCTTTTAGAGTTCTGCAGGGCCTGCAAGATGGAGTTCTTCCACCAGGCCTTCAACTAAGGAATCAGTGGCACTATTACAACCAACAATCCCAATTATAGAGCCCTGGCCCTTGGGTTTGACATCTACAGCCTGTGTCGTCACTTATATCAGGAAGATCATGGAGCAGAACATTTAGTTAGACCTTGCATGCACTCATATAGTATGCCATTGTTAAGCAATAATTAATTATCGCCAGCACTTTATGATACTGAATTGTTTTAACTGAACTGTTTTTAGATGATTTTATGTGGACTTTAACTGTTATTTACGTATCAAACTGTGTAAGCTGGCCTAAGCCTGCTTCACGGGGAGGGCGGGGTATAAATTAATTAATTAAATAAATAATCCCCCCCCTTTCAGTGGTCCAGCAGTTAAAAAAAAATGGACAATCGTTGGATGACAGACTTGCCTTGTCAGGTAGGCATTAGATTTTTGCAGATTTAATATCCAGCTGTGAAGCCACGCCAAGTAGAAAGCGGACTGAAAAACAGAGACTTCAGGAAAAGGATGATGGCGGAATAAAAGAAGAACCAAGGAGAGACAGTGTAGCGTAGTGGTTAGACCACTGCAGTTAGACCGAGGAGACTTGGGATGAAATCCCCGCTCAGCCCGGAGGCCCAGCG